CTTTCTTTTCTTGCCTTGGTGCAGGAACAAGGTCCTTTAGTACAAAGGTGAGTGGGATCAGTGAGAGGGAGCATCCTTTGCTCATTACTGAGCCAAGAGAAAAATGTTCACTATTTCATCATAGACTATGACATTAGCAGTAGAGTTTGTTAAGATTTTATTTATGGCTCAGTGCATGATACATATCTTTTAAAATGTTAGTTTGTTGGGCACCTAGGTGGCTCAGTCGTTAAGTGTCTGCCTTCGGCTCAGGTCATGATCCCAGGGTCCTGGGATCAAGTCCCACATCGGGCTCCCTGCTCGGCGGGAAGCCTGCTTCTCCCTCTCCCACTCCCCCTGCTTGTGTTCCCTCTCTCGCTGTCTCTCTCTCTCTGTCGAATAAATAAATAAAATCTTAAAAAAATAAATAAAATTTTAGTTTGTTATTTGCCAAATATTTGTTGAGCACCCAGACATGCAAGACGCTATTCTAGGTGTTGGGGGCACGGCCATGAGCTGGTCGGTTCCTGCTCTCGTGGAGCTCACTTTCTGTTGGCAGAGACCAACAAGAAAAAGCAAGCAAACAAACTTACAGTATCATTTCAGGTAATGCGACCTGTGGGAACATAAAGCTGGCTGATGAGGGCTGTTTTCTCTTCCCTCGTTTTTATTTTGGGTTCATTATCAGATCTGTAATCCCCAAGAATTTGTGGTGTCACCGAGGAGTCCTGGGTCACGCTTCCCCACCAGAAATTTATCCCAGCCCCATTTAGGGAGATCTGGTTCTTTCTCCAGGCTTCTGAGGCCCCACCTCCGTCACTGGTCACGTGTCCAAGTCCCGTGTGTTTGTGGGGCTGCCCGTCCCCTCTGATGCCGATTTCTGTCTCCCTCCACAGCCAGACTGCATCACACCACAGTGCGCATGAGCTGTCTGCTCAGCCAGCTTCTTCCTGGTTCTTTCCTCGGTGTCTGTCCTGGCCTTTAGGGGACTTCCAACTTTTCTGTATGCAAAATTCTTAGCTTGTCATATTTCACAGAATTTCCTTTTTAACTCTTGGGGGTGTGATTGAGACTCACTTTGGGGAGAACTGACAGCTTCATTATGGAATCTCCCAGGCATGAACATGACAATGTCTTTATTTATTTAGAAATATTTTAGTTTTCCATTAAATTTTGTAATTCTCCCATAGATTTATTTCAAGGTAAAAAATACTTCTCTCTTTTTAAAAATTGACTTTAATCTAAATGTAACATGGTATGTAGGATTGGATCCTGGAATAGGAAAGGGGAAAGCGGTGACATTCAGATAAGGTCTGTAGTTTGCTTCACAGTCTTGCACCTGTGATGATCATATTAGCTTTGATGAGTGTGTCGCAGCCAACGGTAGAAGAAGCTGGTCAGGTGTGTGCAGGAACCCTTTGTACCTGGTGACTTCTATGAATCTAAAACTTTCCAAATGAAGTTTTAAAAATCAGCAATAACTTACATATTATTTAAACATGCACCAATTCAGTTACGTATAATGAACCATAAATGAATGCACCACAGCAGTGACCACTGTTACAGGGTGATTAGTATGCACGAGGAGCCCCAGGAAAGCCTGTCTGGGTTGGGAGCAGTGGACAAAGTTCTGGAAAAACAGCAGCAAGTGCAGAGTTCCTGAGGTGGGGACATCAGAGCCTGCTGTTCTACCCAGCTTCCCCAGGTCTTTGGAGAAAACGTCTGTGTAGGGCCCAGGCTGAGAAGCACCGGCTGGGTCTGCGCCCCCCAACCCATGCACTGTTTTCTCCACCTCTCACCTGGAAACTGAGGCTCAGAGAAGAGTGAGAGAAAAGGGGGGTAGACTCTGGCCTCCCTCCCTGCACTTCTGCCCCCATGGAGCCAGTGTGGGACGCTGGCGGTGGGACCACGAGCCACAGAGTCCACCCACCTTCTGCGTCAGGCACTTGGACCTGGGGGTTGGGGTGGGACCGCTCGGTGTCTGTTTCCTCACCTGGAAATGAGGTTGGCAGCTATGCGGCCAGGCCCTCAGGCACCTGCCCAGGCTCCCCAGCTTCCATGCCAGGACAGCAAATGGCCTGTGGGGTTTCCGTGCCAGGACCAAGCTTCCTGCAGTTTCTGTTAATTCCCAGCCAGGTGGGCCTTCCAGAAGCCTGTTCTTCAGCACAGCAGTGGAGGCCACGACGGGGACACGGGGGGCCAGTGGCGCTTGCCACATGGCGCTGTGGTCGCCCCGAGGGTGGGTCTTGTTCAGACAGTGAGTGGCTTTGCAGCCGGCTGGTGCGGCACTAACCCACACCACTGTGGGGTGACCTCTGGTGCTCCCACCCCTGGCCTAGGAGAGGCCATGCAGCCTCCCAGAGCCGCCCCTCCATCCGATGGGCCAGGCCCCCCTTGGCTTTCCCTAAGCCTCAGGCCAGGGGAACAGCCCAGAGCTCAACTGAGGGCCGGACAAGAATGCCAGGAATCCTGGGGAGCCCGTGAAACTCAGAGCCAGAAGGGTCCTGGGCAAGCCCCCCAGGCCCACCCTAGTGTAACAGAGCTCAGCACACAGCTGGTGCTCAATAGATGCATTTGATCACTAGGCTACAGGCCATGTGCTGAGTTGAAGAAGTCCGTATAGGGACCACCAAGTAAGGGTGCCCCTCCCCGCTGCCCTTCCCCAGCGGTCCTACACTTTTCCCTCCCAGGAGAGAGAGGGGGTGAGACCATTCACCAGCTCGGCTTTTTTGTTTTGTTTTGTTTTGTTTTTTTAAGATTTCGCTTGTTTGCTTTTTTAAAGAGAGAGAGAGACTGTGAGTGGGGGAGGACTGGGGAGGGGAGAGGAATCTCAAGCAGACTCCGTGCTGAGTGCGGAGGCTGATGATGCAGGGCTCGATCTCAGAACCCTGAGACCATGACCTGAGCCAAAACCAAGAGTCAGAGGCTCAACTGACTGAGCCACCCACGCGCCCCCCCGCCCACCAGTTCTGCTTTAATACGCCAGTCCTTCTCAGGAGGGAGGAAGAGCTGTTGGTCACTCTCACTGTAGTGTGAATTAGCTGTTCAAGAGGGGAGGTTTACAGAAAAGCGGAGCCTCGATGCTGTGGGTGGCCAGCAGGCCAGAGAAGTCGGGAAATTGCAGCTACTCCCTGGATTGTGGGTTGTTGCCGCCTCCCCCACGCCTGCCAGACTGAGAGCAGCATGGGGCGCAGAGAGATTCTGCTTATTATCTGGGCAACTGTCAGAAGAGTATGCAAGTGACTCTGGTCTGGTTTCCCGTGAATCACTGGCTTCAGATCGGCTTCATGAAATTCTGCAGGAGTGCCTGAAAACAGACCCTGAGGCTTTAGTTTTCTGTTAGTCTGGATCTGTACCACATACCCGGTGGAGGGGGGCTCCCTGTCCTCACAGTGACATGGTGGCCTTGGCGTCCCCACACTCCGAGACCCTGTGGTAGTTCCCAGCAGCTAGGAAGGCCCACGGGGCGTAGGCGTGGTCCAGCCTGACGAACGTCTCGTTTTCAGCCCAGAGCACTCCACCCGAGAGTTCTCTCTCTCTCTCTTTTTTAAGATTATTTATTTATTTATTTGACAGAGAAAGAGAGAGAGGGAGCGAGCGAGCACAAGCAGGGGGAGCAGTGGAGGGAAAGGGAGCAGCAGACTCCCGCTGAGCAGGGAACCCGAAGCGGGCCTCGATCCCAGGACCCTGAGATCATGACCTGAGCCGAAGGCGGGCGCCTCACCAACTGAGCCAGCCGGGCGCCCCTAAGAGTTGTTCTCTTGCCACCAACAGCAGGTGGTCTTGCAAACTACGTCCTCTGCTCACACGGTTTGGGGGTCAGTCCTGAGTAACCGGCAGGAGTAGCATAGAGCAGACACCTGCCGGAGGGCGAGTCTCTCCAGGCTCAGGACTGCACGGACCTGTGAGGAGCAGACTGAGTATGACAGTCCAGGAGGGCCAAGGAGAGGGAAACGGAGAATCAGGACACGGAGTCACTGAATTTAGAGAGAAGGGGGCAGTACGCAGCTGGGGACGGGGGCACTTCTGGAGAGGCGCAGTGATGTTCGTGCCCACCCACACAGACTTAACTGGGGGTTTTGTGCATTTCCACCTCACAGTTTTCGCCCAAGGCGTGGACTCAGCTAGCCTTGGCAGTGCTCATGTGGGCTCATCACGGGTCAGAGGACAGAAGCAGACAGAAGGGTGTCGATGGGAGTGGGGATGGTTGGTCACTGGTCCTGGCTCAGGATGGCAGGCACAGGGGAGCCTGGGCTGGGGGGCCCCTTGCGGAGGAAGCATGCAGGGATGATGGGGACGCTGGCCAGGCAGGGGCACCCCAAGGGGCTGAGCGCCCCAGGCTGAGATTGCCCCCCATGCCTGTGACGTGGGGTCGCTCTGCGCCCAGGAGCCACTGAAGGGCCGGGGCTCACCGCAGTGCCAGCCGAGCTTGAGCTGTAATTACCTGTCTCTGTCCTGTGGGTCGAGCCACAGAGGGCGTCCGGGGAGGTGTTTGTTGTTGCCTGTGAATCAGGAGCTCATGAGAAAAGTGGCGGCTGGTGCAGCAGAGAAATTAGGACCTTGGTGCTCCACACGCGGCCTCCAGCAGCTCTGGGCCAGGGGTTACCCCCCAGCCCCTGCGCGCCGGAGCCTCAGCAGAACCTCGCCCGGGGCTGCCCCTCAGCCCACCTGTTCACGCATTCAAACCGTCCCTTCCACCACCTTCTGTCGGACACAAGCCCCAGAGAAGACATGCCCAGCCCCTCCCGGACTCACACGGACACGTGCAGCCGCACGCACAGATGGGCAGATGCACGCCCATGTGATCACACTTCCCTGCTAGCACGGACCTCCTCCCTCCCCTGACACACACCAGGCCAGGCTCCCCTCCATGGATAGAAGCTTCCAGAACTGGCTGGGGGTCGGGCTGGGAGGGCAGGAGCAGAGATGGAGGGAGACCCGAGCCCCGGGCCGGGACCCTCGCTGGGCAGCAGCGGCCAGCAGGGGGGAGCTGGCCTGACTCACCACCCTTCTGTCGCCAGGGGCCACAAAAGACATGGGGAAGATGCTTGGCGGTGACGAGGAGAAGGACCCCGATGCAGCCAAGAAGGAGGAGGAGCGCCAGGAGGCCCTGCGGCAAGAAGAGGAGGAGCGCAAGGCCAAGTACGCCAAAATGGAGGCTGAGCGTGAGGCCATGCGTCAGGGCATCCGAGACAAGGTGGGCACGGGGCGTGGGGACAGCTGGGCTCTGGCCAGGGCACCCCCACCACTCACCCACCCTGGACTGGGCTCTTCCTGCCTCTCCTTCGCCTGGCTGCCCGGAGCAGACCTTCGGATGGTACACTCCGAAGCCCCGGGAGGTGGTCCGATGGGAAGGGAGCAGGACAGGAGAGGTCCGCACACCCCCGGGAGTCCACGTCTGCTGCGCAGGCTTGCCAGCATTAGGACTCACCCTGTGGGACACCAAGTCTTTCCTGCTCTCCACAGTGGGCCGGGGTCCCATCCTCATGATCGGGTCTCCCAGGCTCTCTGGACCAGATGGTGGTTTCTGCAGGAGAAGCTCTCCCGCCCTGCTCCTCCTGGAGCTGTCCCTCCGGGCTGCCCAGGGGCAACCGGCTCTCAGGCAGACCCTGAGTGGGGTGAGTCATCATGGGCAGGGGACTGCACCCGAGCAGCCCTGGAGGGTCCTCATAGCTTCTGAGGTTCACAACAGGGTGATGGGGGAAAAAGGCCTGCAGACTGAGGTCTGGCTTGGGGGGTGGGCTTCGAGTTGGCAGCCACAGCCCTCCTGGGAATCATCTGGGCTCCCTTCCCCAGTGAGTGGGACGGTGAAAGCATTGTGCCGGTCACAGATGGGGAAACCGAGGCCCAGATTGGGAGGGGCAAGGGAGGCTGAGCTGGCTGCGAGGCTCACAGAGCACTGTGCCAGAGCCGCAGGGGGTCCGAGCCCCCGGGGGTGTGTCCATGGCCCATCCTCCGTGGACCATCCAGCAGCCAGGTTGGAAGGGTGGGAGAGAGGGCAGGTGTTGGGGGAGCTGCTCCAGCTCCATCCAGGGTGGGCCAGGCTGGGTGCCAGGTGAGGAGATGGGCCTTCCCCTGGGGACCTGGGAGTTTCGTGAGCCCTCAGCATCCCCCAAACCATATGGCCTCCCAAGGTCTTCAAGGCCACCCTGGCCCCAAGCCAGGCTGGGCCTCCTCCACCAAGGGTGCCTGTGGCCTGGCGGTCACTGGGTCCGGGTGTCTGGGTAGGAGACTCAGGAAGGGGGGAGTGTTGCCTTGCTTGGTTCCTTCCTGCCCCTAACCCCGATGACCCTGGCTCTGGGTTCTGAGAGAGGTGTTCCCAGACCCTGCGGATAAAACCTGCTGGTAAGGAGCTGGGTCCCCTCAGGAGATCTCCGTGGTCCCCGGCCCTGGACTCTGAGATGCCCAGGCTGCGGGGTGGCAGAGCCTAGACCGCAGGATCTTCCCACCTGCTGAGTTCTGCCTCAGTGTACCCAGGGAGGGGCCAGCTCCACCCAGCCTGAGGGCCAGGCCTCCCAAGGTGGGACAGCCCAGTGGGGTGCCTGCACATCTCTGAGCCCACGTGGGGCCCCCAAATTGATAGGGGTGTGGGGACCGCAAACCTCAACATCCCACCACTGGTCACTGGACACCTTTTCTGGGGACCTTCACAAAGCTGATTTTGCTGTGAGAGCCACTCACGAGCACCTCCTGCCCTTTTCTGCCCCAGCACTGGCCCCTTCTGGGTCAGGCAGCTTAGGCTGTCGGTGGGGGTATCACTGTAGGGATCAGGAAATGGGGGATGAGGCAGAAGGGGGAGAATCAAGAGACAGAGACAGACAGATGCCCAGGCAGAATGTCTTCTAAGAGGAGAGGAATCCGGTGATGGTGGCCATGGCTTGGGGGAGCTGAGGGTGGGACAGAGACAGAGAGATTGGGGGAGGGTAGGGGGTGAGAGAGAGGGCTGGAGCAGCTGTGTTCTGAAGCCTGTCTGTCTCTCTGTCTGTCTGTGTCTGCTGCCCACGGCTTTGCCCCACGTGTGCACCCCAGTGGCGGATCCTGGGAGGACCTGGCCTTGAGCCTCACAAACGGGTCACAGTGTTTGGATAGGCCTCGGGGCCCCTGTGGGTGTGGAGTGGGGGTGGCCTCCCCAGTCTCCCCCATCAGGAGGCAGGTGCCAAGTAAGCCCCCTCCCCTGAGCCTGGCCCTGGCCCTCGGAGACTCACGTGCGTTCGTGTGAGTTCATGGGCTCAACAGACTCCACTCATTTCGCCTTTAATATGGAAGCCCTTTCTGTCTCTCCCCTCTTCAAACCGTCCGCTGGCTCCCATTTCATCTGGAGCCCCAGCCCAGGCTTGCGGTGACTTACACCCACTGTGCACTGGGCCTCCTTGGGGTCCACGTTCCCAGTGCCCCTGGGCTTTTGCGTGGTTGCTTCTCTCTGGATCTCTCCCTGAGGCCCCTCCCTCCCCTCCCCACCCTCCACACAACCCTCCCCGTCTCCTGCTTTAGTTGGCTCCCCAAACCTTCTTTTATCCAACACACTCCTGTTTTTTACTTCTTTGCTGTTCATTATCCACCTGCACGTGGAGGGTGGGGGCTTTGGCTGTTTTGTGCCTGGCTCTGTTCCTGTTGACTGAAACGGAACCTGGCCCTGTGGATGCTAAGCCAGTGAATGAGTGAGGGAGTGGGTGCTCCAGTGAGCATGAGCTCCACAACAGAGTGATGGGGACCTGGGGAACAGTCCCGGCATGAGGCCTGGTGGAAGTGGGGGGTGCCCCCTCCCTGGGTACACTGCTCCTAATGCCTCATGGATGAGGACCCTCACCAAGCTCCCCCGAGTGATGGATCTGTCCTCAAGACCCCCAGCACTGGGGTGGCTCTGTGGAGGGCTGCACCCCATGGCAGAGCCTCAGGGCCCCCTCTCTCCCTACGTGAGCACCCCTACCTGGAATCCCCTGGGTGTGCTGGGGGCCTTCACCTTCTCTGCCAGCCCTGGAGGCTGGGCCTCACCCCTGCCAGTTGGAGGAACCCTTCCTGCGCACATCTGGGTTCTGTTCTCGTGGGCCCAGTGGGCACGGGGGCATCTACTGAACCCAGTCACACGGGCAGGGGTCAGAGCACCTCAGGCTGGGCCATGGTTCCCTTACCTGCTCAGCCTGATTGTTTTCTCAGCTACTGTGGGATTAGGTAGGATGAGTGGGCCAGGACCTGTCCCCAGAGGGTCCAGCTGCAGAGAAGGTGTGGGTGTGTTAGAGACACCTGCTGTGGTCCACCTAGACACCACAAAACTGAGTCTGCCAGGCAGGGGCCTTTCCTGTGTGGCTGCAGAGCTAAATGAGACAGTGGTCACCTGGCCAGGCATTGGGTAGGGGGTGGTGCCAGTGCTGGGCAGACGGGGACAATGGTGAGTCCCTCCATTCATGGGTCAGAGGCAGCTCAGGAGGGGGGCTGGCATGTTTTGGATGCTGGAGCCACAGGAGGCCCAGGTCTTCCCAGTGCCACCACTCCAACCTCCAGAATGTGGCCCACCCCCCCATGAGCCCCAGGGCCCCCTGGAAATGGAGGCAGCTCAGACCAGGAATGGAGGCTGTGCACTGATGGGGTGGGGTACAGGGCCGGAGCTGACCCCCTTGCCAGCAGCCATCCTGAGTGGTGAAGGCAGGGCATCTGCTTGGGTGGGGGCAGCATCTGGTCCCCGCTGCACCTGGAGCCCCATTGAGTGACCCAGCTCCCAGGTCCTGCCCCTAAGAGGTCTGCCTGACACTCATGTCCACCGGGTTCTCTGCAGAGCCCTCTTCCACCTGTCCACGTAACCCTTCCCACTTTCCTCTGTTCCTCACAGGTGGGAATCCTGCTCTTCAGGTGTGGCTTCCCCAGATTATCCTCGCTGGCCCCCAGGCACCAGACCCAGCTTCCTCCAGTCCTGCCCTGGTGCCACATACCCGTAGGCCTCATGGGGGCTGGTCAGAAAAGGAGGTGCTGAGCTGCCCAGTCCAGGGCTCCATCAGATGGGTGGGAGGGCCATGAGATGGAGGGCATAGGGGCCAGGGTCACGTGTCCTCTGGGGCACCCAGGTCCCTTGGCGACCTCATCCAAGGAAAGCAGAAGCAGGCTTGTAGGATGTCTCACCTTGGGGGTCGGTGGGCAGAGCCTCCCTTTCCCCACCCCATCATGGCGCACCTGTGAGATTGACCCACTTGTGCTTATTTGCCTGGTTTGCATATACATTTCCTGATTTGCATACTCACCTTCTGGTTTGCATGCCCACCACCAGGTTTGAGATCCTCAGCTTTGAGCCACAACCACCCTCCTCCCAGCACCCTACTGGTGGATCCAAGCCCACCCAGTCCCCCACATCCCCTTGATCACTCAAGGTTCAGTCTGAGGTTTGTGCTGATAGTAAAAGTGTGCATGTGATTGCCGATTATTTGTTGTTTTGGGATATTACAGATCCTCACTGTTAATTAGCACCAGGTTCCTCCCAGCCGCGGGGTGTGGGGCGGGACCCTGCCATCTTCATGGTCAGTGTGGAGGTTGGGCACCTCCAGTGGGTGCCTGGACCGGCTGTGGCTGGACATTTGTCTCCGGAGCTCGGGAGCCTCAAATCAGCTCTTAGCCAGATCACAGTGGAGCCAAGCTCTGGTGTGGACCCCAGCTCTGGAGTCCCTCCCCTAACAGAGTAATTGTGACCTTCAGCTGGACCCCAGTGGCCGCAGCCTTGGCAGGACTTTGAGTCTCACTGGAGTGAGCTGGGGGCTGGGGTCTCCTTTCTGGACGCCAGAGGGGACAGCCCCAACACTGCAGACCGTGGTTGCTCAGAGCTTGCCTCTCTGGTCGGGGAGATCACTCTGCTCAACTGTACACAACGTGCTCTCGCCATAACATGCGTGTTCCCTGAGCACAGGCACTTCCGCGGTGAGTGTGAGTGCAGGCTTTAGGCAGCTCAGCCCCCCGGGTCCAGCGCACGGACCGGCACCCCGGCGCTTGAATGTTCCTGCCGCGTGCACAGACGTCTGTGGCTGGAGGAGTCTGCCGGAGTCTGTGCCCCGGGCTGGAGGGAGGCTCCCTCTGGTCTGACCTAGTTTCTGGCAGTGCCTCTCTCCCCCGCCCACGTTCCGCCCCACAGGGCTCCAAGCCACATGTCCCTCCTTCCCCTTCTAAGCCTAAGCGCCACTCCCTCTGCCGTGAGTTTGTCCCTGAGCAGTGACCCAGGAGCAGGACCCATGCTGCTTGTGCAAGGGGCGCCCAGTGTCCGGCCAGCTTGTCCCACTCTGTGCCCTGGCTGACCTGACGGGCCCTCTGGTCCATGTGCCTGCTGCCCAGGATGTTCCCTGGGTGCTCCCATCGGCCCCTCACTGAGACCCTCCCAGCACAAGGGACCGTGGGCTGCTCAGGGCTCCCGCTGAAGAAGACGGATGAACACTCCTCTCTCAGTGTCTGCCAAGTGGCAAGGAAGCCCAGGCTGTGCTCTGGTCACAGGTGGGCAGAGAGCATGGCTTCTTCATCTCTGACCTCTGCTGAAGGTGGCCATTGACTCCCCCATGCCTGAAGCCGCCTGCAGCCTCAGGGAGCAGAGAGGTGCAGAGGTTTCCGTCAGCATCGTCAGCAGGCTGGGGGTGGGACACAGCCAGCTCCCCCGAAATCTGGAAGGAGAGGGAAGGTCCTTCTTGGAGAGTGGGGCATTCCCCCGCTCCCACCAGCACCAGAAGCAGAATCCATTTTCGTTGGGAGGGGTTGGCAAGGAGAGATGAGTGAGCATTGGGGTCAGTCCTCCCCCTGGGCAGAAACACCTCCTCCCTGAGGCCAGTGATCCTGTGCTTCTGTGTCCCCAGTAGAAATCTGGAGTCTGTGGATAATCGCTGACACCGACACGCTGTCCCCAGTTGTCCCTGTTTACCCTTATTAATGCTTCTGCCCCTGTGCATTCCCTTATGTGTGATCCAGAACCTCAGGCCTGGCCAAGGGGTGCCCCTCTTTCCAGCCTCAGTGGGTCCCGAGCTTGGCCCATCAGAGACCACCAGCCCCTGAAACCCATAAGTCCAGTGTGACCCCGCCCAGTTCCCACCAGCCCTGAGGCAGGAGGCCTCCTGGTGACCACAGGCTCATCCTCCTCCATCCTGCAGGGCTAGGATGGTTCAATGCTGGTTCCTGCAGGGCCAGTGGTAGGCCTGGGGGGAGGGGGCATGTGTTCGTCTCTTAGAAATTTATTCTCTCAGTTCTGGAGGCCAGAAGTCCACAATCAGGATGTGGGCGGGGCTGCCCTCCTTCTGAAACCTGCAGGGGAGAACCCTTCCTTGTCTCCTATGTGGCCCCTGGCAGTCCTCCGTGTCCTTGGCTTGTAGCCAGCCTTTCTCCACTTTCCTGTGGCTTTGTCTGTCCTTGTCTTTCTTCTACAAGGAAACTCTCACTGGATTTAGGGACCAGGATGATCTCCTTACCTTAATAACATCTGCAAAGACCCTATTTCCAAATAAGCCTGCATTGTAAGGTTCCAGGTGACATGAATTTTGGGGGGACACTATTCTACCCAGTACAGAGGGGAAACCGGAAATGGGGGGCTCAGGGGTGCCTGGGAGTGTTGGCTGAGGGCACGCCTAGGTGGGGCTCCAGAACATCCACCTAGAACTGCCACTGGGCACCCTCCCCTCGCTGTCCAGGTAGGGGCGGGGGTCCTGGAGGCATCTAGGGAGAGTTTTCCAGGCCTGAGATGTGACCACACCTCACCCGACCAGGGATCTGGGCTGCGTGGGCCCGCCAGCCACGGACAAATGGGTTCTTCACAACGGCCAGCAGACATCCTGCCTGCCCCTCCTAGCCCACAGCCAGGCCCGCTGAGCACAGCGCCCTGCCTCCCTGGGAAGGCGAGGCAGGATGGCAGGGGGGAGGGGCGGGGTGGGGCGGGGGCGCAGCTTTGGCGCTGGTGGGGATTGACCTTCCCCCTTCCCTGTGCTTCCCACTCAACACAGCCCCCAAGCCCCGGCTTCCGCTGTCGCCCCTGCACACTCCGTGGGGTCCCCCACACCCTTCCAGGCACCCTCCTGTGTGGGGACTTTGTCTTCTGGGGTCTTGGCGGCAGTCGGTGGGCCCAGGGGCTCCCCACACCCTCACAGCCACGGGCACCGCCTCTCGAGGCCTCTTGGCCCATCCTGCAGGCGCAGGAAGGGTCCAGGTGTGGCGCCCGGAGCCAGGCCTGGGCTGGGAAATCCGCTCGCGGTCTGACCCCCTCCCCTCCCCCCCAGTACGGCATCAAGAAGAAGGAGGAACGCGAGGCTGAGGCCCAGGCCGCCATGGAGGCCAATTCGGAGGGCAGCCTGACGAGGCCCAAGAAGGCCATCCCGCCGGGCTGTGGGGACGAGCCAGAGGAGGAAGACGAGAGCATCCTGGACACGGTCATCAAGTACCTGCCCGGGCCGCTGCAGGACATGTTCAAGAAGTAACGACCCTGCGCTGGACGGCAGCCCGCCAGAGCCCGGAGCCCCCACCCCCCTCGCCGCCCCCGCCTACCTACCCCCTGTACATGCCCTCCGCGGAGGCCCCTTGAAGGGATGTCGGGAGCAGAGTGCAGCCCCCAACGCCAATATAAGCCATAGTCCTAGATCTATCAGCCCCATGCCCCCCTCATACCTCGGGAGCCTGCGCACACCTCTCCCCCCCACCCCTCTCCCCGCACTGCCATCGCCACCGCCACGGGGGAGGGGCGCCTGCCCCTCCCCCGGGCCCCTGCGGTCTGTGCTGCAGGCCCCGGGGACCAGCCCACGTGCTCCTCTGGGTTGGACCCTCCCCCAGAGCCTGGGACGTCCCTTACTGCTCCTGCCCTTCACACCCACCCAGCAGTGCCCAAGGCCAGGGCCACCGAAAGGGCCAGCATCTTGACCACCCCTCGGTGCGCCATTCCTGCGTTGGTGGGCGCTTGTCCGGTCCCAAACTCAGGAGCACAGCCATAGTGGGGGGAAGGTGGGTGTGCAGGCTGGGAGGGGAACTGGGAGGGGCGAGCAGCCTCCCCCATCCCCACAATGACACCTGGGTAGCAGGATCTCTGAATCTTCCTGTCTGAAGGTTGCCCACCTCCACCTGCACCCCTCACATTCATTGTCCATCTGTCTCTCCCTGTCCTTCACTCTCCCTTCTCGGCCCACTCCTCTGGAAGGCTTAGCTTCTTAGAAATACCAGGACTGGGTTCTCTTCTAAACTAAGGGAAACAAAGCAATAGGCCTAGGGGGAAACTTCCCAGACCACCCCCCGACCAGGGTGGAATACACACAGACTCTCACACATCCCTCTAACTCGTACCCCTCTGAGTCCGTGGGCCCAGCCCACTCCCCTCCCTGGTTGGCACCTCCAGTCTCACCATCATCGGAGGCTGCTCTGGATGGGGGGTATCCCCTGCCCTCACCCCCTGCACCCGCACACCCGCAAGGAGATCTGGGAGGAGACGCAGAGCCCTCAGATGAGTGCTGTGCGTCTGGAGACAGAAAGGCCGGCCTGCCCTCCCCCGAAGGGAGCAGGCCCCTCGAGGTGGGGACTGCCAGGTGGCCTGGCGCTCAGCGGAGGCGGAGTTTGACGGCAACCGCCGCGGGCCTCCCGAACCCTGAACCCTTACGTCTCCTTCGTCCTTGTTTTCCTTTGCATCACGATATGTTGAATCTCAGGTAAATGAGGTCTTACGTGTTTGGGGAGTTTTATCGTGACAGAAAGCCCGTTGCCTTGGTGCCCGGGGCCCCTTTCTGTCCATATCACAAATTCATTGTGTCCACGTGTTGCGGGCCAGGGGCGTGGCCCTCCGTCGCTCTTTAGAGAAGCCATATCAATAGACCGCAATATGAACCGCGCACGCCCCCCGCTCCAAGACGTGAGAGCGTGTCCTGGCGCCCCGCGCCGCCTTGGTGCGCCCCGCGCGTCCCGCGCCCTCTCTGACTCCTCCTGGTCCCACGTCTTTTTTAAATGCCTGTTTTCACACTTTGAAAAGCCAGCTCTGAGCAGACAGGGCGCTGTCTCGTAGAAACCCCGCATCCCGTTCCCAGCGCATGGGGCGCCCGGAGCAGCCGAGCTTAGCGTGAACTGTGGATGTCGTCCGTCCTCCTGTCTTTGCGCCTGGGCCTCCTCCTGCATGTCGGGGGCCGTCGCGTGTGTAGTCTCTGGATGGAATCACAGCCAATAAAACACCACAGTGATTTCACACCATGTGGCCATTCTCTCCAGAGTCCTGATCCCGCCTTGGCAGCCAGAGGGCAGACTGGGGTCCTGGCAGGAGGGGCCGGACCCCGTTGGACAGGTCTCACTCTCTTCCACGCCCTGCCAGATAGGGGGCACCTCCCCCTGTCCCTGGTTGTCCACAACTGCAGGGTCTCCCCACCGCCCGGACCCAGATTCACCCGGTTCTCTCTAAGGCAGACCCAGGGTAATCATCCAAAAGGCAGACCAGACCCTTTGGGGCTCCCTTCCTTCCTCCCCCCTCCCCCCTCCTTCTATGAGTCTCCCACCTGCACAGACCCCTTGACAGGCCTTGCCCTCCCCACAGATAGGCCAGGCCCTGGAGGGCCCGGGTCCCACTGTGTTGGCCACACTTTCGGCCAACCCCCCCCCCCCCAAACTCCTTTGCAGCCCTGAGGATCCTGCCTCTAGTCTGTCCTGTGGTGGCCATCTCCTCCCCGTGTCCTTAGGGAGGCCTCTGTGCCTTGCGGGAGCTCTGGGTCCCACGCCCCACCAGGGAAGCCTGCCCATCTGGGCTGACGCTGGAGGAGGTGCCCGTGGAACCCCGGGCACCCTGACCCGGCCCAGACAGCAGCCTTGCTCTCTCCCTTCTGGGCCCCACCCATGTCCTTCCCGTACCCAAAGCCTACCCAAGGTGCCTTGTATCCCCAGAAAGGATGTGTGTGGCCTCCAGTTCTGGGGGCCTCTCTGGGCCACCTGTGATTTTCCTCACAATGCTGGCCAGAAATGCTTTCAGCAAAACCTGCCCAGTCTTGGCAAGTAGAAAGGCTACACTCATCCCCCACCCCTGCCCCCTGCACGCCTCCCCACAGAGCTGTGCCCTGAAGGCTGCTCCAGAGCCATCACTCCTTTGCCTCTGCCTCAGGGGCTGGGCGGTGTCAGGAAGGGGGGTATGGGAGGACCTGCCTCTGGGGAGAGTTTGGACCCCAGCCCTGAGTACCACCCAGTGTGCCTTTGCCCCCTGAAGAAGGAGCAGCTGTCCATCCTCCCTCCCCGGATCCAAAACACTGACAGAAGTCTTTGCAGCCAACTCCGTGCCTTTAGGCCACCCCAGGATGGCCCCTCTTAGAAGGGCACTGAAAATGGCATCCATCGTTCAGTCTCCACTCCCCCCACCACCCCAGCCTAGCAGGGACTGGGCTTAGTCTTGAGCAGCAACCGGGATATGCTAGGTGACCTGGCACACCTTCCCTCTGACTAGCCCTTCCTCAGTGACCTCAGGTGATGGTGTCTGAGGACTCCAGGTAAAGATACTTGCTCACTTGATGTTTACTGAATCCCTCTGATGTGCCAAGCTCAGTTTTATGCACCAGGGATAACTGAGGTCCCTTCCTCCTGGAACTGATTTTTTCAGTGACAAGAGACAGATGATAAACAAAAACATAAATCAAGTGGTGATTTCTTCTGTGGAGGAAATTGAGTGGATTAAGGGGGCAGAGAGGATGGTGAGGACCAATATTTCACCTCTGAGGAGGTGCAGAGAAGCCCCAAGGAGAAGAAGAGGGAGCCCTGTGGGATTCCCATGGGAGAGCACTGCAGCCAGAGGACCAGCCATGCCCAGGGCCCTTCAGAGCAGTGACCATGACTCCGCTGACCACGGTCTTGCTCCAGATGCTTGTTCTAGATCCACACTGACTCTTAGCAGAGTCTCTTTCCTTTCTGGCTGTTTAAGTCTTGACGAAGCAGAGCACACCTGGATCCGTTGCACCCTGCAGACACATCGTCCCACTCTGCAGGCAGGCAGGTCTGACCAGCTCCTGGCTCTGAGGACCGCCTCCCTCTCCTGCTCCCTGCCAGCTGCTAGCGATTTCCTGCTTCCTCTCCTCTCAGGGACCTGCACTATGTGAGCTCCTTGCTCACAAGCCACTTAACTGTCAAGGCTGTCAGGTCACAATTTTAAAGGTCTGGCAATTAAGGACCGTTTTGTCCAGTTCTGCTAATCCGCAGCTAGACAAGTCCTGCTGTCCACAGTCGCAGTCGGCGGGGCCCAGTGAACACACTGAGTCCGGGCCACCTGTCCACACAGTTTGGAACCGTTTCCACTCCTGTCTCAGCAGGCCCCCTCAGGTCTAGGGAAAGGAGGGGTCCTGTCGCGGAGGAGTGGTGGGTAGCAGAGAGCCCGGCTTGGGCTGGTCCCACGGGCGGGACCGGAGGCTGTGGCGGGGGGGGTGGGTCTGGGCTGGGGGCGGGACCGGGGGCTGTGGCGGGGGTGGGGCTGGGCTGGGGGCGGGGCCGGGGGGCTGGGCTGGGCTGGGGGCGGGGCCGGGGGGCTGGGCTGGGGGCGGGATTGGGGACTGGGGCGGGGGATGGGTCTGGGCTGGGGGCGGGACCGGGGGCTGGGGCAGGGGGTGGGGCTGGGCTGGGGGCGGGATTGAGGGGCTGTGGCGGGACCGGGGGGCTGGGCTGGGGGCGGGACCGGGGGGGGCTGGGCTGGGCTGGGGGCGGGACCGGGGGGCTGGGCTGGGGGCGGGATTGGGGACTGGGGCGGGGGATGGGTCTGGGCTGGGGGCGGGGCCGGGGGGCTGGGGCAGGGGGTGGGACTGGGCTGGGGCGGGATTGAGGGGCTGGGGCGGGACCGGGGGGCTGGGCTGGGGGCGGGACCGGGGGGGCTGGGCTGGGGGCGGGATTGGGGACTGGGGCGGGGGATGGGGCTGGGCTGGGGGCGGGATTGAGGGGGCTGGGGCGGGGGGTGGGGCTGGGCTGGGGGCGGGATTGAGGGGCCTGGGGCAGGGGGTGGGGCTGGGCTGGGGGCGGGATTGAGGGGCTGTGGCGGGACCGGGGGGCTGGGCTGGGCTGGGGGCGGGACCGGGGGGGGGCTGGGCTGGGGGCGGGATTGGGGACTGGGGCGGGGGATGGGGCTGGGCTGGGGGCGGGGCCGGGGGGCTGGGCTGGGGGCGGGGCCGGGGGGCTGGGCTGGGGGCGGGATTGGGGACTGGGGCAGGGGGTGGGGCTGGGCTGGGGGCGGGATTGCGGCCGAGCTTGGGGGTGGGCTGGTAGTCGGGCTGGCGAGGGGGGCCCGGGCTGTCTCAATGACAGGCCAGTGTCGGCCACACGTCTGCGTGGACTTACTCATGGAAGGGCCTCAGGGCAGGACCCCGGCCCAGTGCCACTCGAGGTGAGCGCTACGACGAGAGGTCCGGGAGCCAAAGCCTCGCCTGCGGAGCGTGGCCCGCGGCCCCTCGGGGCTCTGCCCCGCCCACCCGGCCGGCCTGAGCCAATAAGCGTGTGCCAGATCGAGCCGCCACAATTGGCCCCGAGAGGGTCCCGTGGCAGGAGCCCGGCCCATCAGAACCGGGGAGAAGCCCGTGCGCGGCGCTCGGCGAGTCCTGGGCCAGACCTCGGGCTCCGTTCCCCCCACGGTCCTGAGTCCTCCGCGTTCCTTCCCCGAGTTCTTCCGGAGCCTTCGCGGTGCCCTCCGCCGGCTGAGTTGGGGCAAGGAGCGGACGGCCTGGGTCCTGTGAGTCGCCTGCAGGGAGGCGGCAGCTGGTCCTGAGCTGGGCGCTGACCAGCAGCCAGGAGGCTGGGCACGGGACAGGGGACACGTCCGGGCTGCCACGTGCGGCTTATTCTCGGCCGCGGCAGCAAAGTCTCTGCCCCACGGCCAGGGAGCCGAAGCCAGCCGGGGTGGCGTCGTCCTTCCTGCTGCCCCCGCTCTGTCCGCACACCAGTGGCCAAGGCTGCAGCCCGTGGGGGTGGGGCCCAGGTGGCCCTAGCAGGCCAAGCAGAGGCCCATACCGGTCTGAGGGCAGAGCCTGGGAGTAAGGGGCGCAGACTCCGATGGCCAGTGCTGGCTGGCAGGCTTCAGCCTGAGGCTCAGAGAAGATCCTTAGCCAGGAGGGTGGGCTCAGCCCGCACCCAGAGTCCTGCACTGTTCACACTGCTTTTCCTGGAGGATGAAGCTGGTAGCGCCTCCCTGCTGCTGGGGCCCCACATCCCCAACTCAGGGCCCTGGCCAGGGCTGCGCATCAGTTCCCCTTAGTGCCCAGGGTGATTTCTCTGAGCCTTAGGACAACGCATGAGAGTTGAGGTTTAGTTGATTTTTACGGAACAAAACAGTATTTCTTGCACCCTCAGTTGAGTGAGTCCATTGGGATTTATGTTGCACAGGGTTAAAAAGGGCTTTGCTGGGAGAGAGAGAAGGGTCTTGCCTGGCTAGGGAAAGGCCTGGAGGGTGGGAAGGGACTGGGTGAGGGTGTAGCCGAAGCTCAGGCTACTACACCCTTGCAGCAGGAGACCCAGGAGCTGGGGAGCTGGTGGGCAGAGAGGCCAATCCCAGGGTCACATCTGCTTCTACTCCATCTTTCTCTGAAGTTCCCTGTGCCAAGACAGTTCTTGGAAAGGCAAACGTTAACAGGTACTAGGCAACCTTCGAGGCCAACCCAAGCACTGACCTTTGACTCGCTTTAAGAACGACCCTTTGGTGCGGTGTTAAAGAGAGGAGGGCCTTGTGCTGTGTCCAGTTGGCCAAAAACCCTGGTTCTCTCAAAGGAGTCCATCAGTCAGAACTTCTGTGCACGCATGTCCACTAGGCCCTGACCATGGGTCTCAGGGAGGGGGGCACAGCCCATTACACCTCCTGGCTCCCCCCCGTCACCCAACCAGGACTGGGCCTGGCTGCAACTTCCAGGCCAAGACGGACAACTGACACTCGGTATGGGTTCTCACTCCTGCAGTTAATTCTTCATACATGGAGCAGAAATAAAGTTAAGTAGATAATCAGAACTCACCAACTAGGAGAAATTCACCTATGACTGGGGCAGGAAATATCCAAAATAAGCCTGGAAGCAAGGAAATGCTAATTAGCAGACACAAACCCACAACGATGGGGCATGTCAAAGGGACACAGCGGCAACTGACCAAGCTCCCAGTGATCAAAGGTGGAACACTTTGAACACCAAAGTAAGAGTGTTGGGTTATAACTCAAGTGCAGAATAAAGATCCATTAGTCCACACAGACATAAGTGAATGAATAAACACAGTGGGGAGAAGAGATAAATCTGCCATGTGGGATTCCAAATACTTTAGGTAGACACTGCCTTCAAGGAGATGGGAAAAAACCCTCACTCTGAGTGTGGGCTGCACACAGTGACTTCCCTGCAAAGAACACAGT